ACACGGCTTCAGAATTTGGAGGAACCCCATTCCTTTTTTAGCCAGGCTGCACAAAAAAACAAAACTCATTATCCTGTTCTCTAGTTTCTTGAATTCCAAGGAGAAATGGTGAGGAAAATGGTGGTCTCATCTGAGGTCCCTAATAAATTGGAGAGGCTTTCACTTCTGGAAGTGAGCGAACTGCATCCTACAGGTGACATGCAGCCTTTTTATTTTATTTTTTTGGACACACAGCCTGTGCCACAATGTTCCCCCTAATAACCATTTTTGAACATCAACATTGTGTTTTTCCAGCAAAATATGTCTGCAAAACTCTAAGTTGGCTCCTTACTTCCATAGAACCAGTTTTCAGTGAAAGAGGAAAACATTTAATTTCCTTTAATTACAAATAGAGATGGGCATGAAATGAACTGTGAAATGAAAAGAAGCATGAGCTGGCCTGGTTCGTGCTTTAGTTCGTGGCTCTCAAGTTCGCGGCTCCCGTTTTGCTGAAATGGGTGGCAAACAATGGCTTATTAAGGAGTCTCTGCTTACATGCCTCTTCATGTCTCAAGTCACACAACTGACATGTAATGAGGAATACAAGTGGTGACTTCTTAAATCGTAGCAATAGCCTGTGGGTTAAACTGCTGAGCCAATGGGCTGCCAATCGAAAGTTTGGCAATTTGAATTCGTGTGAGGGGGTGAGCTCCCGTCGCTTGTCCCAGCTCCTGCCAACCTAGTAGTTCAAAAGCATGCAAATGTGAGTTGATGCATGGGTACCACCTCAGTGGGAAGCTCCTGCCAACCCTCGATAGATGATGATAATCCATTCCACTGAAATCGCTGTGTAGCAAAATCATTGTCTAGCAAACAGCATTTCCCCATTGGAATGCATTGAAACCTGTTTAATGCATTCCAGTGGGGGAAGAATTGTTGTTGTCTAGCGAAGATCAGCCATGGGAAAGCCGCTTTGCGAACCGCTGATCAGCTGTTTAAATCGCTGTCTTGTGAAGCTAAGGTCCCAAAAACACCTCTTTACGAGCGCGGAGGGAGCTGTCAAAATTGTCGCCTAGCGAAAATCGGTTTGCGAAGCAGGAACCAAACACTGTCCAGCGAAATTCCCCCATAGGAATCACTGTTCTGCGAATCACAATAGTGATCGCAAAAAGCCAATGTCTAGCAAAAAAAAATGTCATGTGGGGTAACTGTCTAGTGAGGCACCACTGTAATTGCATTCTGTGTCTAGTTATGCTGGTCACACGACCAAGGAAAGTGTCTACGAACAAATGCAGGCTCTTTGGTTTAGAAATGGGGATAAGCACTGGCCCCTAGAGTTGGATACGATTGGACTTAATTGTCAATAGAAAGCTTTACATTTACTTATGCTGGTATATGTAAGCAATAGGATCCTGACATTAATATAATAATATTTAATTCCTCCTTAATTAAGTTGCAGTAATTTATGGGGAAGAGTGGTGAATTAGCCATTAATGAATTAAGGATTGTTCTAGCAATGCTTGCTTAAGTCTGAATGAACTTCTAGGAGAAATGTTATTTTATAACATCAAGAATATAAAATATATGAACAAATGACATGGAGAAGAAACAAGCCTATTAGACTTTGGCAGATGTTTGAGGGCATGTGAGGTTAGCAGGATTTTCCTCAGCAATCGTGAGATCTAAGAAACCATTGTTCAGAAAGCGAGGTTTATCTTGAATGCTGGTGGAACGAATTTTTGTAAAAAAACATCATCGCATGAGTTTCTGCTCACCGTAAAAGCATGAGAAATATAGAGGCTAGTCACGGAAGATCAGTATGGGCTTCCTGTCTCTACAGCAGACTGTCCTAAAAGCGGAGCGTTTTCTGCTTTCCAACAGTAACCATTGCCTCACCTTTAGTAATCAGCCGAGAGTAACAGTACCGCCACAATCCCGAATCACATGTGTTTTCACTATGCACACAGGTATTGTCTTCTGTAACATTTTTACAGAAAAAACAGGTAATAGCATCACCTGAAAGGAAAACATGAAGCGATTTACTAGCTACAGAAAATCCCAGGCATTGGAAAGAATCATAGAATCATTGAATTATTGAATAGTTGAGTTAGAAAGGGCCTGTAGAAAGGGCCATCAAGTCTAACCTTCTCAACCAGGAATCCAAATCAAAGCAGATCTGACAGAATCATAGATGTGGCACATCTAAATACCCATCATATGACTGTTGCCATGATTTATTGATCCTCTGTTTAATCTACAAGTACAGTATTTAAGAAATGTAAATAAAAAACTGTCCTCAAGTGAACTGAGCAGCAGTTCTTGCATTACTGCAATCATAACCAAGGTACTTCTAAATACAAATATCGGGGGTCATACCAATCTGTTCCGATGAACCTTAATGTCATTAGAAGGTCACTTCCGGATTTCCAAAAGTGTTATCTGGGGCCAAAGCAAGATGAAGAGGTGGAACTGGTAGTATTTAATGGGAGAATGGTGTGTTCCAGCAGCTCCTGAGGATGCATGCTTCTATTTTTCCTGAAATGTTCTCCTTCAGCAATGAAGGTATGCTGGGCCCCCCAAGAACGGTACAAAGAGCCTAAGCACCCCACCATTCTTGCTTTATAGACTGTAGTTCTCCCCATTTCTGAAGCTTACCTGTGTTAAAGGAGAGCAGAGCTAAGAAAGCGAATGCCATAACCTTTCCCATCTTTCGTTTCTTTGGTTCGAGAATAAGAGGAAGAGAAAACAGGCTTCTCAAAGTCTAAAACAGGCAGCTGGTGAGAAATTCCTCCATTGGATGAAGGAAAGAATAGACTGGATGGTTTGATTTTTCAAGCTGGACCCAGTGTATCTATTTCTAGGACCTTGTGAAATGTGAGGGTGCAGAACAGCTAGTAACTTATGGCAGCTTTTTCATGTACTTGAGGAGAACTGGTGTAGGTGGCTATCATAATGAAGGCAGCTTAGCCTCAGGCCTCTAACCACAAAAGTCACATAAGGAATACGATCAGCTTCACTGCTTTCAGACAAGAAGCTTCATTTTGGAAATGTGTAAGTTATTTCCGTTATGAAAAGATCTGCTTTCAACAGGCACGAAATAGATTTAGAAGAAATCCATTGTCGCTTCTCTTCCATTTTGCCAGAAACCAAAATACTTTGCCCTCATGCCCCCGTTTGTATTTCAAAAGGCAAGGAGATGTATTTCAAGAGGTTTTTGGAAAACATGAAGGCAATATGTCCATGGAGCTTTGGGGCCAATATCATGTTTCTTCTTTAGGCTGCTTACGGCAGAGCGGGCATGGCAACATTTGTGTACCTAAGGTTAAAAAGGCGTGTTTTCTGCTATTTGAGTTGCACTCACTCAAATCTTTGCTTCATCACTGAGTTGGAAAAAGCCCTTAAAAATATTTTGGCACAGAGGGACTTCCGCCACATCCCAGCAGTTCTTGGTTTTGCCCCCTGGTCCAGCAACCATAGTAGAGATCATCTTTTGTGATCCTCTAGCACCGCATACTTCTACATGAAAGAAGTTTCTATTGGAATTTGTGTGTAGCAAATTCAGTTCTTTGAAACACCTCTGATCTAGGAACATGAGATCCTGTGCAAATACAGCAATGCCTCGCTTAACGGGCGCCCCGTTTAACGATGAAATCGCATACAACAAACTTTTTGTGATCGCTTTTGCAATCGCATTGCGATGTTTTAAATGGGGAAAAATCGCTTTGCGATGATCGGTACCCTGTTTCGCTTACCGATCATCGCAAAGCAATGATTTTTTAACAGCTGATCGGCGGTTCCAAATTGGCCACCGGGTAAAAAAAAAATGGCCACCTGCTGTGTTTTCACGCAGATTCCTCGCTTACCGGGCAGCGAAAATGGCCGCCATATGGAGGATTTTCGCTTTAAGGTGAGTTTTAAGCCCACAGGAACACATTGAAGGGGTTTCAATGTATTCCTATGGGCTTTTTAAAATCGCATAGCCATGAAATCGCTTTGCAGTGACTTTTGCTGCACCGATTAACGTCGCTATGCGAGGCACCACTGTATAGCACAGCAATACCAAGCATTTCCTGGCATTTTGAATAGCGGATGTAGATCCGCTATTCAAAATGCCAGGAAATGGCCGATATTGCTGCATAATATTTGCCTGCATTGTTGGCAGAAAAAAGGATGCCAAGCTTTACACAGCAAAAGGCAGCCTGAATGTTGACACCACCAATGGCAGCAGTCAAGATGGTCTACAACATATCCTCTTGTGCTCGCTACCATTCAGAAAGAGACACCAACCAGAGGGAAATCCCAGATCAAACCTAATTTTTTCATCAGTTAAGTACTTCTCATCTTAACACAAAACAATCCTTAATTGGGGAGGGGATTCACACTGAGGCATTAATGTTTCTTGTGGCCTTATGACTCTACCTATGGTTTTCTTGGAGGTCTCAGGATGGCTGATATTGGAAACTCAAGGGGATAAACCCAGTTGGTCCCTCTTAACTTTGAAAGCTCCATTACCTTTTCCAGCAGAGAGGAGTCAGTCTAGAGCTTTTCCATTAATACGTATGTTTTCCTTAATGAGTTCATGAAAGTAAGAAAACATTTTGGAGTGTGGTCCATCCTCAGAGTTTATCAGTAAGAGAATAGGGGAAAGAAAGAAAAAACAAGCATCAGCGGATGACAAAGGGATTATGATGAGCTAACTAACCTGCCTGAAAGTCAAAGTACCTGTCATGCTTCTGAAATGTGGAACAGGGATTTTCAGCAGACACATGACAGACAAGAAAAAAGATTAAGCCATCTTTCATTTGGCTAACAACCTTAGTCTTTGCTTTAAAGAAAAGTGACCCAGAGTTGTTGCAAAGTTTTGAATTTTGGTGAAAAACCTGCAGCTGTGCAGCTGAAGTGCAGGGACTTACATAGCAGAATTAGCCTCAAGTCTTCCCAGAGCAGACCACCCCTTTTTTTGTCTCGCCAGTTGGCACAGATTTGCACATAGATTCAAAACAAAACATCCAAGAGTTAAGTGTTTGAGAGCTTGATCAAATTAGTTTTTTTAAAATAAAGTTTCAAGATCTTTCCACGTGACATATGAAGCAATGTGTGAGTTTTTTTAGATCAAGAACAAAGCAGCAAAAAAAATCATCTCACCCCTCACTAAGTACTGGGGCTGCACTTGAGAGGGTGTTTAATGCCCCAGATGGGGAGGAGATGAGTAGAATGCTATGACAGTTCTGCTAGCTCTGATGGGAGATAATTTGGCCAGATGTTATGCTGATTGCAATGATCTCTGTGATTGCAGCACCAGGTGAGGTTCCTATAATGGCTATCACGTTGTACATGGATGCAGTTAGAAATGCAGCCTCGGTCCACAAAAAGAAGCACTCCATCTGCAGAGGTAAGCAAAGAGAAAGACAGGAGGATTATTTTCAAGGAACAATGAATTTTCATGGAATATCTCTTGCTGGCCTGAAATACTGCAACACTTTTAATTAGTTTTTCTGAAATACGAGGTGGAAGGTTATTGGTTTTTAATGCACGCGCAACAGGAATCAAAGACTTTGCTGCAGCTAATGATGCTTAATTGATGGGCATGTCACCACGAACAGGATCAGATACATGATGCAGCCCATGATCAAAATGAGACTGGCATCTCTTTGATTAAGCAGTGGTGGCTTCCCTGATTTCTCTTGTATGTGCGTTGAAAAAGAGAAAAGTATTCTACCCTTATATTTAAAAATGCCATAATTACTCAAAGTCTTAACAAAAATACAAGAGTAAGATTTCAGGGCCCGGTTAAAGTGGAGATATGCATTGATTTCAGCTCCACTGTATTTAAAATCAGTTTCGGGTTTACATCTCAACATACACGTTCATTGTGAAAATAGTAATTCTGATTTAAATTAAAGATTTTAAACTATTGTTTACTGCCACTTATATACAAGGGTACCACTTATAAAACATTGAGAATCACTGCGGGTGGTTGTAGGTCTCTCTCTCACACACACGCACACATACACATACATAAATAACAAATCTGGAAGGATTAGAACAAGAAAAAAAGGTAATGATGATACATAAGGAAGGCTTGGACTTTTTTGGCCACAACATGAATATTTTGGGAGTGGCAGTCAGGGGCTTTTAAAATTACATTGCTGAAGTGATGCAGCGCTAATCTTATTATTAAAATATTTTTAAAAATCAGACTGGCATCATTGCCCTTACCACCCAAAACCCAGAAGCACCACACAGAGGCACAATTAACAATGACAGTTGCATTCAGATTGGCCAAACTGATGGGAAGGGGATCGATTTATATAGTGGTGTAATTTAAAAAGCCCCTGCTCGCCTCTCCCAAACAAACTCACGCTGCAGCCAAAAAAACCAACAACATGAGCATCCTCGTGTGTCATGCAGCCAGCATTTTTAAAAAATCAATCTTATTTATGCACAACCCTACTCAACAGTGGTTCTTATTGTCAGTTTAACCATGCCCTCAGTCTGGTCATTTTCACTATTATGTTTGAAACAATGGAACAAGGCTTAAGTTTCTGTCTGTTAAATTGTATTTTATTTACTTTTTGTGAATTATCTTGGACTCAGATTTGAAAAACAAATGTAAAAAAAAGGATAGATATAGGCAATCACATTTAGCTCATCATAATTTAAATTCAGGCTAACCTGATGTAGTCTTTAAAATCATCCTGGTTTAGGATGCCATTCCTTATTCGAGCACTCGGCACTTTACTAGAGATTTGGGGATATCCTATCTCAAACATGGGACGTGGTGACTCTGCGGATGAAACCGCAGAGGCTTCTGTGTTGTAAGGTCTGTAGATCTGCAGCTGTAAGATCGAATCCACATGACGGAGTGAGCCCCCGTCGCTTGTCCCAGCTCCCGCCAACCTAACGGTTCGAAAGCATGTAAATGCGAGTAGATAAATAGAGACCACCTCGGTGGGAAGGTAACAGTGTTCTGTGTCCAAGTCGCACTGGCCACGTGACCACGGAAGATTGTCTTCGGACAAAATGCTGGCTCTATAGCTTGGAAACAGGGATGAGCACCACCCCCTAGAGCTGAACACGACTGGACAAATTGTCAAGGGGGACCTTTACTTTACTATCTCAAACATGCATTCATTGTATGTCATATTTATTTTGGTTTTCAAGCTCCATAGATAGCCAAGTACTAAACTGCTTATAAGGCAGAGGTGGACAACTTTTGGCTTTCCAAATTTTGTTAGATGGCAGCTTCCATCATCCCTGCCCACTGGTTATGCTTAGAAGGATTAATGGGGGTTGAGATCCAGAACATGTGGAAGGCCACCAAGTTTCCAAACCCTGACATGGAGGGGCGGCACCATCTGACATGGGTTGCATCACATTTCTGTACATTGGATGGCATGGATAGAAAGCATAGGATAGGTGCTTAACTCTTCTGCTGCCTACATTTTCATCCCCAAACTACCACTTCTGACATTGCATAACATTCTGCAACCCATGAGCTCCGTCTCTTTAGAATGGACCCTTAGTACTCACTTTTGCTCACTACCCGGTTGTAACAGTACTCCATTTTCCAAGCAACGCAGGTGTAGGATCTTTTGACACAGTTGTTGTATGGATCTACATCGTCACAGCCAAGACAGTAGATGTAACCTTTCAAATACGATGGCCCTATGGAAACCGAGTGTCAACAGTCTATTACGAGGTTATAATTAATTAAGCTGGTTAAACCATGCCTCTTTGGAGGGGCATAGGCCTATAAAAAAGATACCCTTCACCTTACGGGTTTGTGAATGTAAATCCTTCTTGAAACAATAATCTGATGAAATTATTATGTAAATAATACTGCCGATAAATGAGAAAAAAAGTCCAGACAAAAGTGGACTCCAGCCTAATGATGGGAAGAGAACTTAACTAGAAATGAGGGACTTGCAACTTACCAGTGACATTACATAGGTTAGGGTCATGATTCCTAACTTTGGTCCCCAGATGTTGAAATCTGAGTCTCAGAGGTCCCAGCTGTGTCACCAATAGCAACACTCTCTAGTACAGTGGTGCCCCACATAGCAACGATAATCCGTGCAGCAAAAATCGCTGCAAAGCGATTTCGTCTCTATGCGATTTTTAAAAAGCCCATAGGAATGCATTGAAACCCCTTCAATGCATTCATATGGGCTTAAAACTCACCTTAAAGCGAAAATCCTCCATATGGCCGCCATTTTTGCTGCCCGGTAAGCGAGGAATTGGCATGAAAACACAGCGGGCGGCCATTTTGTTTACCTGGCGGCCATTTTGGAACTGCTGTTAAAAAATCATTGCTTTGCGATGATCGGTAAGCGAAACAGGGTACCGATCATCGCAAAGCGATTTTTTACCATTTAAAACATCGTAATGCAATCGCAAAAGCGATCGCAAAATCTTCGTCACTATGCAGTTTCGTCGTTAAACGGGGCACCCGTTAAGCGAGGCACCACTGTAGTTGTAACTGGATAGCTTCTGGGGACTCCTAGTTTGCCTGAGGCAAGTCTCTTCCTTGTTGCACATAATCCACTACCCAACACTTAACCGACCCAAAATCATGCTGAACATTTTGAACAGGCCAGTCTCCAACAGCCGCTCCTACTAGGTTTGACAAGTCATGCCTGGAACTTTAGAACTGATCCCTGTTATATGTATACAATGACTGTAACTGCCATAGTGTGATTTTCAAGAAAGATTCACAGCTTAGTCCTTTAGTTCCACTGAACTATTCAAAGCTTATTCAGTCTGCACGGTGTGGCAAACTCAGCTGCAACTATACCTCATCTAGACAGATGATCAAGACTTACCACTAGCTGCTAAACAGAAGATACCTACGAAACCCACAGCCAGAATTTTCTGCATCTTCCTATTTTTTCCCCAGTATACAGGACGAAGCTGCAAAAATATGTGAAAAGAGCACAAAGTCCAAAAGCCAGCCAGTGGGAAAAGCTTGTTAGCCTAATAAGCTAGCTTGTGGGATGAATGAAGGTGGCTTTATAGCTCTCAGCTTGTTATATATTAAAACAACTCGGTATAACATAAAGAATACATCCAAGGGACACAAGGCTCTGTATGTCTTGTGCCCTTGGCAGGAATGCCCTGTAACATGAAGAACAATCTTAATTAAAATAGTTTTGAGCACACAGGTGATTCACTTAGATTAGAAGTCCCAGCCTACAGCCTCTACCATGGGAGGGAAGCCTGGTTCCCTAGACTTTAACTTTCCTCTAACACACACTGAACTATTCAAAGCTTATTCAGTCTGCACGGTGTGGCAAACTCAGCTGCAACTATACCTCATCTAGACAGATGATCAAGACTTACCACTAGCTGCTAAACAGAAGATACCTACGAAACCCACAGCCAGAATTTTCTGCATCTTCCTATTTTTTCCCCAGTATACAGGACGAAGCTGCAAAAATATGTGAAAAGAGCACAAAGTCCAAAAGCCAGCCAGTGGGAAAAGCTTGTTAGCCTAATAAGCTAGCTTGTGGGATGAATGAAGGTGGCTTTATAGCTCTCAGCTTGTTATATATTAAAACATCTCGGCGTAACATAAAGAATACATCCTAGGGACACAAGGCTCTGTATGTCTTGTGCCCTTGGCAGGAATGCCCTGTAACATGAAGAACAATCTTAATTAAAATAGTTTTGAGCACACAGGTGATTCACTTAGATTAGAAGTCCCAGCCTACAGCCTCTACCATGGGAGGGAAGCCCGGGTCCCTAGACTTTAACTTTCCTCTAAGACAGTGGATTCCATATTTGGTGGTCCAGATGCTCTTGGATGACAACCTCCCAGTAGTCTTAGCTAGTGCAGCCTATGGCTTGTAGTGCTTGGAGTCCAAGAACACCTAGAGTACCTCTACTCTGGTGCAAGGGTGAAGAATGAGTAGCCATCCAGATGTTCAAATCTGCAAGGCCAGATGCAGTGCATCCAAGACTATTTTAGGAAACGGCTGAAGAACTGTTGGAATCACTGTCTCTTATTTTCCCGAAATCATGGAGGAGGATAAAGGAAGTGCCAGATGATTGGAGGAGGGCTAATGTTGTCACTTTCTTCAAAATGGGCAAAAAGGAGGATGCTGAGAACTTCCACCCAGTTAGCGTGATGAATGATCAATCCGCAGAAAACTCTAGAGCAGATTATAAAGTGGCCAGTCTGTAGACATCTTGAAAACTACACAGTGATAATTAGAAGCCATCACAGAAGGTTAGTCTTGTGTACCCTTTCCTTGGTTTTGGGGGGAAAGAAGAGCTTTCTTGCTTGGGACAGCTATCATTGGAATTGGCTAACCTGCTTGATCCACAAGGCTGAAAAATATATGAAACAATCTCTTGATTTTTTTTAGGGATTTGTCTGAGTATGTAATCCATTTCAAACAGTACTTTTGACTTTCAAAGAACCCATGTTTCTTTAGTCTGTGTTCACTGGACTTAAGAAAATTCCTATTTTCTGTCTATCATCGCGTGTTTTTATATTCCCTGTATTCCTGACTACAGGCCTTTGAGACAGTTGACAACAAGTGATAACTAGAGCATACCAGATACAATACAATGTCTTTAAAATGTCACTGATAAAAACTGTGGAGGGTGGCACAGGGATGATACTGTAAATGTCCACTTTCTAGTTATTATATGCTATTGCTGCAACTGTGATTTTTTTGGCCAATTGTTGTTTTTCATAGGTTGGCATTTACTCCACGGAGAACCACTCTCAGCCCCATGGGTGCTAACAAACAAACAAGCAGGTCAGATAGCACCAGATGTTTTGGGCTGTGGGTGATGAGAGATCTTTAGCTGGACACCTGTTCTGTGTTCCGGCAGTAAGCCCCACGGCTGTATTGTTTTAAGCCAATTATTATTCATAAGGCAGGAGATAAATACCATCTCTGTGGATCAAGCTATTCATTCAACCCAAGTAGACCAGTCACCTTCACAACAAGGAACAGGCAGAGGCAACGTCATTGGTAGAACATTTGTCAGTTGTGGGGGGGGGGATCTGAACAGGCAACACAGAATAACAGGTGAGTTCCATGTTGTCTCACAAATTCTCTGTTGACACCTAAGTACATCTTACATTTCCCCCTCCCCATAACAACATATGTACTAAATGACAATGTATAATGCAATGAATGAAAACTTTAGCTATGAGCTTATAAATGACAAGGCTGCACCATGGCTATATTAAGTAGGGTGACTGATTTAAATACCTTCTGGTCACTTCCAGTTTCACCTGAAGGGAGGGTGAGTCACTAAGCCTTTTCTCCTACTTGTGCCCCCATGGGTCTCATTAGCCATGGTGCCGAGGTCCTCTCCTTTTGCAGAGCCAGACCACACACTCCGAGTCCCCTGGGGTTTACTTGACAGAGATTTCCATCCTTAGCTGCCACTGGGTTGATGTTCATCTGGGCTGATGATCATGACTGACCATAAATTACTCAGCAGAAAGCAGCTAAGAGTCCCACAGGCAGAGCATTGAACATCTTCTTTGTTTATTTCAGGATCTGAGAAGAAGCTGGAAAAATACAGCTAAGATTATGAAAGCCAGCCATTGTCGGAAAAAAGGGATAATTTACTGTGAACCTAATAAATTAGCTTGTATGATGAACAAAAATGGATTTTTAGTTTGGGGCTTAGCTAGTAGTGATCTATTAAAATAACATGTATTCTGCAAAGGCAAGGTGTCCTATATCTTACATTCTTTGTGGCAGGAATGTCCTGTAACTTGTCAAGGAAGAAACAACTTCATAAAGACCCCTTCCAGTTCAAGTATTCTATGATTCTATTGGCTTCCATGGCCTTACTCATGAGTTTATTAAGGGACAAGAAATCACAAGCAAGTACAGAAACCTCTAACTGTTGGTGCTCAGTGAAATTCATTATCTGACCCCACCCCTCTAGACCATGTCTACTCTAACTGTTGGTGCTCAATGAAATTCATTATCTATAGATCTTTGTATGGTGCTGTTCATTTGAAAAAGTCCTCAAAATATTTAGTTCACTGAAATGTTCCAGGCCTTTTCAGTGAATAAAACTCATTTTTAAATTGGTCTCATGACAAAGAAGGCATCTATACATCACAGTTGTATCAGTTTTAATACCATTTTAACTGCCATGGTGCCATCCCACAGAATCATAAGCTGTGTGTGGTTTGGCGAGGTGCTTGTAGTTTGACGCTGGAGAGCTCTCATGCTATGATTCTCAACTTTTGGTCCTCCAGATGCTTTTGATCTTCTGCTCAAAAAATCTTGGACTGTCCTCTAGACCTGGCTGGCGCTGTTGAGAGTCGAAGTCCAAAAGACCCAGAGGACCAAAAATTGAAAACCAATATTTAGAATAGTTTCCTGTAATTCTACAGCAGCAAAGCTGACATATCTCATAAAACAGCGAATCCCTGGATTCCACACAGTGTCGCCACTACAGTTAAAGTCATGGGTGAGGAACTGCATAGTGTAGATACATTCTGGTCTCACTTTGCATCACGTTTCATCTGCTGTTTCCTCTTTGTTTTGTTGAGGTGGTTTTAACTCTAGGATATTCACCACCAGAAGGTTCATGTTCGCAGCCTGAGTTAACGGCTGAGCTGGTCAAAGCAATAGGTCCGCCTGGTGGCCATTGAACTGCATGCAAGACATTTCTATGCTTTC